ATGCCTCGTCTGCGCTTTAAAGGCTGCTTTTCGGCTGTTTAGGAGGAGCGATGACAGGGTTGCAGGTGTCATCCCGCTCGGGGCGAGGTGGAGCACAAGCCGGGCGGGAAAGGCGGAGGCTTTCTGCTTCCTGCTCCGTCGTCTGCTCCCGGCGCGACCGGGCAGCTGGGACACGGGCACCCGCTTCCCGTTCCCGAGCGCGATCCCAGGGCGATGCTTGGTGGAGGATGCTGTATTTGGGTAACCCTTCGGGCGGTCGGCTGTCCTCTTCTCCTACCCCTTCTCCCTTGACCCCCTCCCAGGGACCCCTCGCTGCACGGGGCCTCCCGGCTGCTCCTGCTCCGGTAGAGCAACCCGCTAACCCAGATAAAGCGGTGACCTGACCCTCTCCGGGGGCTTTAGCCGCGTCTCGGCAGCGCGGCCGGCCCCGCGCCGGCTCAGCCCCGCGCTGTGCTGCCCGGCAGGCCGGCCAGCCCCGGGCCGGGATCCCTGCGAGGCACGTTCAGGGATGCGGCAAGGCCTGCGAGTTTTGACTCGAGCTCCTTTACTTGCCACGTCAATTGGACTTTGTGCCTCAGTTTCCCCAGGTGAGCGCTGGGGACCTCACCAGCTGTCCAGCCCGGCTTTTGAAGTGATGCTGCTTCACGTTCACATTTGTAGGACATTCCCCATCATGGGGCTGTCACTTCAGAGGCAACAGGGAGCCGGTGATGGGCACAGTCCAACCCACAGGGGCACAATCCTGGTGCAAGGAGACAGTGTTGAGCGGGCACAGCCTCGCTCCTGTCGCAATCCCACCACCGCTTCCCTGCTCTTGATTGTAGGGGAAAACGGGGAGGGGAGACGACAGCCCTCCGCATCCCCAGGAGCATCGCGCCTTGCACCCTGGGGCTGCCCCTCCGAGCGCTGGGAAGCTCCAGCATTGCCGAATATTTGCGTTGCCTGCAGGAGCATTATCCAGCCTGCACAGGGAGCAGGAGGGTGTCCCGCGGGAATGCAAAGCAACCGGGAGAGGGTCCCAGCGGGGGGCAGAGGGCCACCCTGCCCGGCTAGCAGAGGTCACTGCAATCCGACTCCTA